ACAAAGTGGCAGCTATAAGCAAACAGTTTACTCAACTGGTCACTCCTGAACATTCACTACCACAAACTCCTTGTAGTCCAACCATCTCAGGCCCTACTGTTTCATTTTCCTCTTTTTCCCCTCTCACTGAGAACTGTGTGTCCAAGCTTCTCATGTGCAGCCGCCCTACTACATGCCCACTTGACCCCATTCCGACTAAGCTGCTCCAAGCTATTGCTCCTACAGTAGCCGCAGCAGTCACACATGTGATCAATGCTTCACTGACATCCGGTACATTTCCCACCACTCTCAAGCATGCTCAGGTTGAACCGCTGCTAAAAAAAAAAACATCTCTTCCTCCACATCATGTGGAGAACTACCTAATGTCACGATACGGTGGTGTGGACCCAAAATGCAGTACCCAGGATGACACGGAGGCAGGGATGAAGATTTTAAGAAAAAAGTCTTTATTTTGTGGGTGAGCCAAAAACCAAGGTAATCCAAACTGGGAGTCAAAATCCAAAAAAGCCAAAAATCCAAAAGGTAAAAAAAAAACAGATTACTATCTGGGGATCAAGAAACTCTGGTTAAACACAGAGGGACTAAACTGACAGAATCAACAAACATTAATGGACCGACAAGAACACAGAGACAGACAGGGCTTAAATACACTGGGAGGAGCAATCAGGGAAAATGGCAGCAGGTGTGTGAAGTGAGAGCTGGAGGGAAGACAGGTGAACCTAATAATCAAAATGGGAAACAGAAACAGAGGGCCAAATAACCCTAAGAAACTAAGACACCAAAACTAAACCTAAAGGCTGCAGGAAGGACTAACACACACACGTTGAGCTGGGGACAAAGAAGCTGGAGCTGACCTGGGAGGAAACAGTAAAAGATAACATCAGACACTAGACTGACACACAAACTGACACACAGAAACTGACACAGAAAAAAGACACAAGAGGGCACCAAAGGGCTACAACATAAGACACATAACAGGGATGCAGACAAGGACACATGAGGGCGCTAAGAGAGCACAAGGGGAGCTGGGGGAACAAAGGGACACAAGAGGGAATCTAGAGAGGGATGGAGGACACCAGGAGGCACATAAAGGAAGGGGGCTGACACAGACCATGACACCTACGTATCTCTCTCCTCCCTTTTCTGTCCAAAATCATTGAAAAGGTGGCTTTCAAGCAGATCACAGAGTACCTCTCACAAAACTGTCTGCTTGACCCTTACCAATCTGGGTTCAAAAGGGCCACTCCACTGAAACTGCTCTGATAGCAGTGACTGAATCCTTAAAAGAAGCTAGAGTGACAGGCAAATCCTCAGTGCTTATCCTGCTCGACTTCTCGGCTGCATTTGACACTGTCAACCATGGCTTCCTTTTGTCCACACTCTCTAGCATGGGCATCACAGATAAAGCACACACCTGGTTTGAATTGTACCTCACAGGACGATCATTCAGTGTATCTTGGCTTGGACAATCCTCTGCCGTGCACCATCTTGCTACAGGAGTCCCCCAGGGCTCTGTACCAGGACCTCTTCTCTTTGCCATATACACCACCTCACTGGGTGAGATCATTCGATCACATGGCTTCTCCTACCACTGCTATGCAGACGACACCCAGCTTTATCTGTCATTTCCACCGGATGACCACACTGTCTCTGCACAAATATCAAACTGTCACTCTGACATACCAAAATGGATGAAATCCCACCCTCTCCAACTCAACCTCTCTAAAACTTAACTACTTGTCATCCCAGCAAAACCACCCATACAGCACAACATCTCAATCCAAAATGACTTCCTATCTCTGGCTCCTTCAAAGGCAGTTCGAAATCTGGGTGTTGTGATTGATGAACACCTGACCTTTAAAGATCAAGTTGCCTCTGTTGCTCTTTCACGACGCTTTGCGCTGTATAACATACGAAAGATCAGACCATACCTAGCACAACATGCCACCCAGCTCCTGGTGCAATCTACTGTCATATCCAGCCTCGATTACTGCAATGCCCTTCTAACTGGTCTTCCAGGCTGTATTGTGAGACCTCTTCAAATGGTCCAGAACGCAGCGGCGCGTCTGGTCTTCAATCAGCCAAAAAGAGCACACGTCACCCCTCTGTTCATTGAGCTCCACTGGCTACCGCTAGCAGCACGCATCAAATTCAAATTGCTAACACTAGCATACAAAGTCCTAGATGGTACGGCTCCCATCTACCTGAATCCTCTTGCAAAGGCTTACGTATCGGCTAGCAGTGCCTACACCATGCTCAGGACAATCCAGGCTCTTCTCGTGCATCGTTCCACAAATGTGGAATGAGCTTCCAAGCACTACCAGAACAGGGGCTTCCTTTTCAATTTTCAAGAAACTCCTGAAGACCCTGCTCTTCAGAGAGCATCTTCTAAACTAACACCCTCCCTGTACCCGTCCCCCCTCTCTACTGTCCACTCCTTGTTCCCTTCTCTCCATGATTGATGTCAAGTTGTTGTTGTTACTGTTGTTGTTAGCCTCAAGGGCAACATGCCGATTATCACTTGTAAATCGCTTTGGACAAAAGTGTCTGCTAAATACATAAAAATAAACATGACATAAATTAAAAACAGTCATGTGAAGGTGATGATAACATCTCAATGAAAAAAAAAAGATTTATTTTCCTGAGTTTAGTAAGGATTTTGGGTCTCTTGAGATAGATGGCTGCCCATCCAGAGCCGGGTTCTGGTTTTGGTTCATCAGGTTTCTTTATGTTAAAAAAAGAGTTTTCCTTCCCACTGTCACCCTGGATGGGGGATTGCATATGACAAATTTTACACAATCTATTATATCTAATTTAGCTTGAATCTGAATCTGATATGAATTTGATTTATTTTTTCCCATAATACTTTAAAATGAGGTGTACTTCCTTTAAAAGCAATATTTTAATTAAAAACAATTATCAAATATTTATATTTGGGCACTAGGTTTATGTTTAGCCAGTAGGGGGCACCATCACAGGTTGCCACACAGAGAAGTTGGCACTGTGGAAAAAGGTAGACTTGGCAAGTCAAGCAGCTGCTTCTGAGCCCAGAAGATGTTGTTTTCCTTCTCAGAAGAAGAGTGACCATAAAAGATCTAAACCAGAGTGAGTTTAGGTAAAGCCTATAGACAGACACAAATACAAAATTTCACATATCGGTAGGGAACTTGCTGTCCCGACGGCTGGAAACCTTGTTCTATTGATGCAACTACAACCTCCACACACTAGATGTCACTTTGGTGTTCGTGTTCCATATTCCACCGTTAACTATAAAACGAGTAAACAAAAAAAATCTGAAAAATGTGGGGATGTTTATAAAAAGTTTTATATTATTACATCACATTATTATGACAATGATAAAGTGATATTTATCTTATTAACTTACACTACATTATGCATCTTGTTGCTCTGAATAAATTAAATAGAAATAGACAGTTGTTCATGGTGCAAAGCTTAGTGGGTTAATTATGTCATGAAATTTTGAGTTAACAATGAAGATATTTAGATTTGAAAAATCCACATTAATATTATGTCCATCTGTTAAAGCAATCAGTCTTGACAGCTTCTGTCAACTCTTCATATAAATGTTGTTTTGCAAGAAAAATCTATGATTTTTAACACCCGATTCTCACTATTCAGGACTTTCTGGTGCAAGACAAACCAAATAACTAAAACAAACTAAATCCACACTTTCAGATATGTTTTATGTGTTCCACTTCCTGGAATTATGCCACACAGTACACAAGATTTTCAAGCTATCACTTGTGCCACCAACTCTGGTGGCTGTCTGTTCCCACTGAGAACACACTGATTCGATATGATTTATATTTGCCCAATAATAAAGTATCATTAGTAGATAAACAACACAATAGATCTCTAGAATTTGCAGAAAAAGCAGGAGGCCTCTCATAAACCCACGATGAGCTGCTGCAGGTGTGATGGTCGTCGTAGTGATACATGACGCTGGCGTCCTCCAGGCTCCGGTTGTCATGAAGTCCTTGAAGTTATGGTGCAGGACGAAGGAGGCAGCCGCCAGACTTCAGCCTCCTCACTCTGATAGGAATGCAAACATGCAACACAGTCCTGAAAGCAGTGTAAATATGTCCACTTCAGCTTCTAGCTTTAAGACAGAAGGGAATCTCAACCAGGCTGTGTGTTGAAGGACAATAGATAAAAGCCCGCAAAAGCAATCAGCCAAATCTGCTACAGGGAATTTTAACATACAACAAAAAAAAGCCATGCATCCTCAAAGTTATGCATTCAGAGGGAAACTGTGCCATGTGCGTGTCCATACGGTGTCTGGAGAGCCGACCCAGTGACCTGTAGCTTCAGGAAGCAAAAGATAGGAGAGAAGTGATAGTGAAAGTGTCAAAAGAACATGCTTGTTTCCTTCATCAGCTGTCTGACATCACAGCATCAAAGGGTGTGAGAGGATGATGAGAGAGGAAGAAGGAGAGATGAGGGAAGACTGGATGGAGTGATGGGGTTAATTAGTGCAAATGAGAGGGTCCATTAAAAGAAATGTGAAGAGCTTCTTTCCTCTCCTTTTACAGTTGCTGTTATTTAATTTGATCAGAACCACATGTGACTTCCTCGTAAATGAAATAAGGAGGACAATTACAGACCCCGAGTGTGTGCTTTAGTTTAATCTGCCCCTGATTTTGTACGTGGTGTTTACATTACCACCAGAGGAGACATCTGTAAAACTGTATTGAAATATTTATGCATAACAAAACAGCTTCGTGCATCCAGGCAGGCCTTTCTACGGGATTCGTTTTCAGTTAGCTTCTCACAAATATGACCACAAATCCTTCAATATTTGGTTTATTCATAAAAAGTTTTGATTCTATGTTATTTCAGCAGTTAGTGCTTCAAAAATAGAAAGAAATGTCCCATTCAAGCATCTGTGTATTCACGGGTTCTCAGTTCAAACTCCAGCGTTAGGCAGCAGCTTTGATTATCACAACTATTAACAAATTCACTTTGAATCTGGTAAATAATCTCTGGATTTTCCACATATGGCACACTCCTGCAGCAAAACCATGTTTAACCGACATTTAATCAGTTGCCGTAGGACTTTAAATGTGTGTTTTAGTGTCTCGCTGAATGTTTAACAGTTTCACACAGGAATGTGCTGGTTAGATAAAAAAATGTCACAGCAGCTAAGGAGCTGCAGATGTCAGGATTGCTGCAGCCTTAAGAAGACGAAGAAGAAGAAGATATCATTTCTATAGCACCTCTCAAGATAAAAATCACGAGGCGCTTCACAAAAACAAAAAATGTAAAAATATAAAAAAGC